GAGCGCGCTTCAATGCAACGTTCGTTACAGGCAACTCCGGCATGTATAGTGTAAAATTTAAATTCATAGTGTACAAATAATACCATTAAACTAATTCCTTAACCCCTATCCCGGTATGTTTGTGTGTTTGAAGAAGTTTCACTTCAGTAACGTGTTGTATAATTACACGTATTGTTTTTTTAAGTAAAATGTTTCGTGCATTTAAGGAATGAAATCCTGGAAAATATTAGATACATATGTACAACAAAAAAATGTTACGGATTGAGATGTATCCACTTTTTTGTACTGATGTCATCGTCATCTCTAATGTACATACGTGTTTATGTTACCGGAAATGTATGAAATGTAGGAATTGTATACAATTCCTAGGAAATGTATGCAATTTCGAACCTATTTAGGAAATCTATAAAATATTGTTTCAAAGATTTTTTAATACAGACATATCCTGGGAAATGTATGCATTTCCTCTGAATTGTATGAAATTCCGATATTGTACTAGGAAATATATAAAACTAATGATTTCTGTGAATAAAATTCTCTAACATATCAGCCTGTCTCCGGCGGGCAGGGACATTATATAAACTCAAATCTCTCACAAATCTACTTAACCATACAATGATGTCACCAATGCATATGAATTTTTAGTATGTTGTGGAGGTGCATATTCTGATTATTTTGATATTTTGGGCGCGGAAATGATAATGAAGCATAGTTATCGAACGTTGGAAAACAATACTTAACGACTTATGACATAAAGTAAGCAGTAATATGGAAGGCTGGGATGTATATACATTGGTGACGCCATTGTTTGATTAGGTAGATTTATAACAGATTGGATTTAAGACTTAAGATTTCATGACCTTGCCTGCAGAAAACTTTAGTTTTATATATTTCCTAGTATAATATCGGAATTTCATACAATTCCTAGGAAATGTATACATTTCTGAGGATATGTGTGTGTATTAAAAAATCTAGGTAGAACTCTTCTACTTTTCTAACTTAACCTTACTTAACTGTTTCCGCTTCTAATGTCTCTGACTAGCTCTTCATGCCTAAGAAAGTGTCCCACCAACTTACCTTCCCTGTTTCTTACGGGTTTTCATAGAGACCTTTGTTGTCCTATTTTTCCTACCACCTTTTCATTTCTGAGCTTCTCTATTCATGGTATCCTCATAATACGCCTGTAACACTACATTTCAAACGCTACCAATTTTTCCTATGTAGGCCTTCCACGTTCCGCTATTTCTTCTAAACCCAAATTGAATTAATCCTGATTGTTCTTCCGCCCTCTTTTTCCATACTCTGTACGATTCCAGTTAAGATTTTTGACGAATGAGAAGTCGTTGCACGTGCTTGAAATATATTATTGGAATCTTGGTTCATACTTTTAAATCATTTTCTCAAAATTTTTGGCAAACTTAGTGTTTGTTTAAATAAGAAAGAAGCACAAAAAATTTGTTGGCAAACTTTATCCATTATAGTGTAATAAACAAAATCCCACCCCAACAAAATAAATTCATTCCTAGTAACAAAAGTCCGAGTTCAAAACCCCCAGGCACTCCACTATTAATGAAGATTATATTAAAGCTTTATTATGTATTACCTATATTGCATATCGCTTTAATAAAATAGGTTTCTCTATTTTATTTAGCCTGTTCAGATAGCCATTACGAAAGTTATCCAATTATACGAAACGAAAAATTCAAGACATTCCGTGATGATATTAGGTAATACTGGTACTGCCAAAACAGTTACATGGAAATCATTGAAAGGTGCTATGGGTCGACTAAAAAAGCTTAACAAAGCGGGATTTAATGTTGTTGAAGTTTTTCCTATCAACCCAAAGGCCCTCAATTTGGGAGAATTATATGGGGAGTACAATTTGGCAACTAACGAATGGTTGGATGGTGTTATAAGCGCTACTATGCGAACTACTTGTTCAGGTTGGTATCTCTCATTCCAATTTTTACCAAAGTAAATAAGTTTTACTTACTTATATTTAAGTAGGTCTTAAATCAGAATAATCGTTTGCACAGCAAGATAAGAATAAGCCACACCTACGAATTAGAATAAATGCTTATATTTAAGGGAAGGTTGTACCGGGCTTAAACACGGATCTAATAGTGGGAGGAAGGAAATTTTGTTGTACTTAAGAGCTGAATGATTATGATAAATCATGATGGATTACATATTTCAGTAGTGTAACATTGCATTGTTGAGAAGTCAAATTAGGAAGTATGTCCCTGAATATCAGGAAAAAAAAAACAAAAAAATCCTTAGTAGTAGTAAAATTCTCAGAAATAGTAGGAAAACCATGAAAAATCATACTTAACAACAGACTATTATTAATATCTAAATTATTATTAAGTGATTTCTTACTTGAGTTCCTGTTATGTGCTTCAATTGCCTACGGGTGCTACTTTCATAGTCATATCACAAGATTTGACTCCCATTTGAGCCAGACTTTGCTTGAAGTCGTACATTGTCTAATCAGCTATAGCTGAATGATAAATAGATGGAATAAGATCTGCTCTAGCCTTTTCGCTAGTTTTCTTTCAACTAACTAGGTCTACCTTAAAAATCGAAGCAACGGTACTTTCAGTCCTCATTGACATCGTTTTCTTTTCATTAGCAGAAATCATATTTAGTCAATAATGTTGAACTATCAATAATAATTACACTGGATTTCATTTATTACGATCTTGGTTATATAGCGACCATTTTACTATAGCAACGTTAAATCTAAGTTGCTTCAATTTAAAATATACTTTAGTACAAAATTCATGTAGCTACAAATCCTTAGTAATCCCATGCAGATACAGCGACCGGAGTCGGCCGTCAAAGACACAAAAAAACCCTCTCATCTTTACTGCCTGTTTATAGATGTTAGCCAGATAGGTAGGTAAGCATGTACTGTACGTTAAAATGGTTCATTTACAAAGTGATATTCTTTCTAGCAACTGTGTTTAGTAAATTTTTGTATAAGTATGACTTCTAAATACACATTTACTGTTCAAAAAAGGCGGAAATCGTTTCAAAATTGAAAAATGGCAAAAACTATACATACGTGTCCTTATCTCTTTACCGCTGCCTGTAACGACTTCCGGATATAACGACGAAATTACAGTGGTCTATTCGTCGTCGTTATACCCGAAATTCACTGTATTGTCCTTGACCATATACCCATTTGTAGTTGCGACCATATAGTTAATTTTTAATTGAAATGATTATATTTATTTAACTTTGTAGTTTTCTACAGCCCTTTGACCTGCTGTAAGTTTGGTACTTTCTTTAGAAACACTCTGTGTGAACAATATTTGAGGGTGGATATGCTTGCAATGTGAGACAGAAATTTGTGTTGATCATCGACTATGGACGAACTCAGTGCAAATGATTTCCAATGTAATTTTTTTCACTAGTACATTCTTAGAGAATGACTTCTTTCCAGCTCTTTTGATTTATTTGAAAAGTAGTTTGATTTTGGAAGTCACTGAACCTTTATTCACTGGTAGTAGCGACAAACTATTCTTACATGGTTAACACGTTTCTTTTCTATTAAATATTTTAAGAAATTCAAATCGTAAAATAGAATAGAATAGAAAATAAAAAATTCGTTTATCCTAATACACTTATATTTACACAAAGTGCCTACCATTTGTTCCATATTCATCATCATCATATGGTCGTCAGTCCTAAGATTCTAAGACTGGTTGGACACGCACCTCCACTCGTTCCTATCCTAAGGTAATCTTCGTATATCCCTCAAACTAGAACAACCCATATCCTTAACTATTTGCGAACACTAATCTAATCTAGGTCTACCTCTGCCCCTTCTAACTCTCGTTTCTGCGTCTAATATGTCTCTGACTAGACCTTTATGTTTGAGAAGGTGTCCTACCAACCTATGTTGCCTATTTCTTATTGACTTCCGTAGAGTCCTCTGTTCTTCTATTCTTTCTAATATCTCTTCATTTCTAACCTTCTCTATCCACGGTATCCTCATCATTTGCCTGTAACACCATATTTCGCACACTTCTAATCGTTTCGCCCACCATCCATGTTTCGCACCCATACAGCGACGAGCTCCGAACATACACCTTCAACAACCGTTTTCGAATTTCTAAATTAACCGTTCGCTAGCATAGAAGTGTCTTCTTTTTATTGAAGGCGACTCGATCTTGCGATATTCCTTGCTTTAAATCCCTACTACTCCTTCCGCCCTGATTTATCTGACATTGTTATTCATATAGTTGATTTTATTTTTAGATACTAGTCCAAATGAGAAATGGATTTTATTCGATGGGCCGGTAGATGCAGTTTGGATAGAGAACATGAACAGCGTTATGGATGACAATAAAGTATTGACGCTCATCAACAGTGACAGGATTACTATGCCACAACAGGTTTCACTACTTTTTGAAGTGGGTGACCTATCTGTGGCATCTCCAGCTACGGTCAGCCGTTGTGGAATGGTTTATAATGATTACAAAGATTGGGGTTGGACCCCGTTTGTAACATCATGGATTCAGAAGCATTCAAGAAAGGGAAAGCTTTTTCAAGAAACCGTTAAGTGTTTATCAATTTAAGAGGGATAAAAAGCTGAAAGCTAGGTAACCATAGATGAGCAAGGCTGATGTTTTTATTTATACTCCATTGCAATGAGGGTACTCGAAGGATATACTTGGGTACACTTATTTCATATTGTTCGGAGAACGTGCATGAGGAGCGGCATTTTTATGCCCTCGAGTGCAAGTAGTTGAAACTACTAAATTTTCACAGACATGATATATACGTTACCGGAAATGTACGAAATCTGGGAAATTCAGAGGCTACTTACGAAGTGTATAAAGTTTTTGTTACAAAGATTTTTTTAATATACACATGTCATGGGAAATACATACATTTCCTAGGGATTGTATGAAATTCCGATATTGTATTAGGTAATATATAAAAGTAAAGCTTTCTGTTAATAAAATACTCTAACATATCAACTCTGGCGGGCAGGGGCATCAGATGAACTCCAGTCTGTTGTGCTGAAACATACAGTGACGTCGCCAATGCATATTTAGTATGTTGTAGAGGTTAATATGCTGAATATTTTGATGTATATGTTGGTCACGGAAATGATAGTGAAGCATAGTAATCGAAACTTGGAAAACAAAATTTGGCGGCCTATGACATAAAATAGGCTATAATACTGCAGGCTGGTTGGAAATGTATATATGTTTGGTTAGGTGGATATTTAACAGATTGGAGTACATTTTATGCGCATACCCGCCGGAGGCGTGCTGATATGTTAGAGTATTTTATTCACAAAAAGCATTAGTTTTATACATTTCCTAGTACAATATTGGAATTTCATACAATTCTTAGGAAATGCATACAATTCCCAGGATATGAGTCTATTAAAAAGTCTTTGAAACATTTTATAGATTTGCTAAATAACCTCGGAATTGTATACATTTCCTACGAATTGTATACAATTCGTGCTTTTTCAGAAATTATTTATTTATTCATGAATATCTATTTTACCCCTTCAAAGTAATTCCAAGCAGATATTATACACTTTAAAAAATCATTTTTTGTGATATTGTTCAGCTCCTCCTTCGATGTCATTTTTATCTCCGTGATCGTAATGTATCGTAGTCCTTTCATGGGCCTCTTCAGTTTCTGGAACAAGATAAAGTCACAGGGTGTCAGATCTGGGGAATATGGTGACTGCGGCATTAATAGTGTGTCGTTTTTGGTCAAGAATTGGCGCACAAGCAATGATGTGTGAGCAGGGGCGTTATGGTGCAAAAGCCAATTTTTATTCTTCCACAAATCTGGGCGTTTCTGGCGGATTGCTTCGCGCAAATTGTGCGTAACTTGCAGATAATATTGCTTATTGACCGTTCTACCCTTTGGCAAGAACTCATTATGCACCACGCCTGTGCAATCGAAGAAAACTATAAGCAAATCCTTCATATTTGAACTAACTTGGCGCGTTTTTTTCGGTCTTAGCTCGTGCGGCAGCTTCAATTCGGATGATTAAGCTTTAGTTTCCATGCCACAACCATAAACCCATAAACCCTTGATGCGTCACCAGTTATGAACCTCTGAAGTAAATTTGAGTCGTTTCGGACAGAGTCCAACAGCTCCTTAGAAATGTGTGTGTAGAAATGTTGCGGCGAGCCGTCTCATGCCGGTAAGGAGGAGTCAATGGATATGTTTAGGTCCTCAGCAACTTTTCTCACGCTGTTTCGACGATTGGCCAACACTATTTTCTTCATGCCTTCGCCATATGCCACAGTCAACATTCGGAATGCGTCCGAGCACATAATTTTGTTTTTGACGCAAATTTTGATACAGATTCTTTGATCAATTTTTTGGAATAGGTAAAAATCGAAAACGAACCAAAAATTAATTGAACATTCAACATGGCTGAACTTGCCGGTATGAGTGAGAGACATGGCACTTTTTGAATAGATCTCGTACAAACCCGAAATTCCATAAAACGTTTAGAAACCTAAGACGCATTTCGACACCCAAGTTAAGAGTCTTAGGATTTTTGGAATTTTGGGTGTGATTTGTTATTAGTTAAAGATTCACAGTAGGCACTCAAATTGATATTCTTGTAGCATTGGTGCTAATTATCAAACTGATTTCACTCCATTCTACCTTCTTAAAATCTACTTCTAAAAACGTTTAGTATTTTAGGTATGTTAGAACCGAATACTTTATAGATTTAGTATTTACTGTACTGTGTACTTTTTTCTGTTGGATGTGATGTAAATGCTGAAACGGTACCGTTAAAATAATAAGTACTATCAAGTATGTTTTTTGTTATTTATATTTAATTGTTAAGGTGTTACACTAAGTGACTAATGGAGCATGATTTCCAACAACATTCATTTTTTTAATATTTTCTACAACAGTTATCTATTAATAGCAAGTTGTGATTTCACTACAATAATAATTAACCGTAGAAAGCCAATTAGTTATCGTCTATGCCGATTTGCTGTTTATTTTGGGTTAATTAATGTTTTAGACCCAGATATAGAACCCCGCTTGGTATACTACTAACAACGTCCTTAACAATTAGGGAGAACAATTTATTAAATAGACTTCTTGTATAAAGGAACACAAATCGAATTTAATAAAACAATGCTTACCATACGTGGAATGCTGTTTGAACTTGTCAAGTTCGTATTAATAGCCTTTACGTACTTTTGTTTCATTTTGTTGGTATACAACAGCGTTGAAAACTTAAAAATTTTAGCTTTTCTATTGTTACCTAACGATTAGGGTCTCTTTACATTTTTATTTAAATATCTGATAGGTATACCTGTAGCTAATCCTTAAAAACTACATTTTTTTAATAGGTGAATCGTTTTTTTGTCGACTTAATGGGAACAACTTTGGAATTTCGTCGTTTAAATTGTCAAAGCATAATGAACTTTTCCGAGCTGAACTTGGTTGATACATTATGTAAACTACTCGATATATTTTTAACACCCGAAAACGGTGTTGATCCAAATAATGAAGAATCCTTTGAGGACATTGCAAAGTTATGGTTTCTGTTTTGGTAATTAGCGAAATTTAGTATTTTATATTATGATAAAGCAAATTGAATTTATTTTTTAATTTTATTCCATTTTTAATATGAAGCTTAGTATGGTCTGTTTGCTGTACGGTGGACGAAGAAGGTAGAAGGAAATTGGATAATTTCCTTAGAGAAAAAGAAGGCGTATTTCCAATCAAAGATACAGTCTATGAATACTACGTTGATGTTAAAAATAAAGCTTACGCTGCATGGGAAGACAAACTTTCAGCAACTTGGAAATTCGAACCAAGGTGAGCCAATTTGCAGGTCCAATAATTTTAGCTAGTTTGGCATTATTCGGCAAATAGCAGCTCAGTCACTTTAGACAAAAAAAGGGTATACTTTTAAAAAAAATGTCACTAAAGTATTTCCAGTGCTATTCCTTTTATTTTGTCCTTGCAAACACAAACATTATACGTGCATTTAAGAGCATATTGGCTGTTTTAAGTAAGAATTGAGGAAATTGAGCAAAAACTAGTACTACCCTTCCGATTAACATCAAAAGCGGATGCGATTACATAGGTATATGACGTTAAAGTTGAAGTTTATGTTGAACGAAGCTGTAGACAAATATTTGATTAGGGCCAACCGGGATATTTTTCAAATATTACCTAAAACCGCACAAAAATTCCTGATTCAGACCAACGAAGTCGTGAGAGAGAAAAAACTAGCACTGTTAGTAGAGTAAATGAAGGATTTCCACTTCGGAAAAATTTGTAACCAGGTAGAGTTTAGTAAACAACATTCTTCAAGTATGCTAGAATGCTAGTGAAAAATCTACCGAAAGAAAGTGTTTGCGTTTTAATTTTAATTAACAGTTTAAGGGCAGAAATACGGTCTTTTGCGAATACTTTTTTAAATTTTATTTGTACGTATTAACTGATACTACCATTTAAAAGAACAAAAAATTTTACGAATGAAATATATGATACGTATTTTGGGTATTAAATTGNAGAAAGTATATAATGGTTCGTTTTCTAATACATATTTATTATACCTTTTTACTTACAATTGATAAGATAAAAGGAGGTACTGTTTAATTCTTAGCAAAAGATTAATTCATCAACAGGACTGGACCAAAGAAATTCGATGTTGTCAGTATTCTGTCGAAACTGCCAGACGCGGATCGCTATTTCGTTCTTGACAGGATACAGACCTTTTTTTTTCGTTTGGATTATTCTCGGGGAGTGGAAATCTTCAAAAGACACCCCTAGAAGTGGGGAGGTCAACCCTTAAGGTTGCTTATCCCCGAGAAGGAAATAAAAAGGTTGGGAAAAGGGCTGAGTGTGGGGGAGGGAAAGGAGTATTTGGGAAGCGAAATCGTCGAAGTAGGTGGTCCACCTCGCGCAAAAAAGCGAAAAAGACACATACTAACTCTACTTACTGCCTTAACCCAGCGTGTTTTATAAAATGGCGTATAAACTCCATCTGTACTACAATGCTACATTTAGTGGAATTCAATATGCCCAACAGGGTCCATTGAAATAGATGAATATCTAGTTGCTGAACTGAATACCCTGCGTATCTCACTACGCTCATGAGATCCAACAAGATCGAAATCGCGATCCGCGTCTGGCAGTTTCGATAGAATACTGACCACTTCGAATTTCTTTGTTCGATTTTGGTAACGCGCCTATCACGTAGTGGTGAGCTACGCCGTGAATTCAGTGTAGCAAGTAGATATCTATTTAAATGGACCTTGTTGAGCATATTGAATACCTCTTAATGTAGCTTTGTACTACAGATGGAGTTTATGTCATTTGTAGGATTTCAATCAACAGGACTATTCAAGCAGTTTAAGGGGTGAAAAATGGTTTATTTAATGACGTTTCACTTTATGTTGTTAAAGCTTCTTTAGGGTAGATTATATAGGTCAAATATAAAGTACCTCAGTTCTTTTTAGTTTAGTTTTTCCTCTGAGAAGGGGAAATCCTCAAATGATACCCCTTGAAGTGCGGTAGTGTGGGATTCGCCGATGCGCCTACCAACTAAAACCCCTCCTCGAGGAGTATGCAGAAAGTATAGGTAGTATATGGAAGTGCATTGAAATCCACCCAAGCAACTACACTTTAAACTATAAGCTTGGGTAAATTTCAATTAACTTTTGTACTATCTATACATTCTGCAACTCTGAGATACTTTAGATTTTTTACTTGTGTAATCTACCTTGAAGAAGATTTAATAATTTAAATCGAAACATCGGTGGAATTGTATATTAAATAAAACATTTTTCACCCTTTAAATTACTTGAATGGTCCTGTTGATAAATATTAGAGGAACAAATACGAAGGTGGATTAAGTCATTATTTACAAATAAAGGCAGCAGGAAATTGTGATTAGTGCTTTATATAAACCCCGATATTTTTACTTTGTTTCGAAATTGTATGTTGAATGCTGTTTGAACTTGTCAAGTTCAAGTACTTTTTTTTCAAATGTAATAAGAATTAAAGAGAAAAACTTGAAAATCGATAAAACCACGATTTTTGAACAATTGAAAAGGCATTGATGCCCGTTTGCACCATCGTCAATAAGTACTACTTATCTTTAAGTAGTTCTTAAAAGAAGGAAATGGTTTGCACCGCAAATTAAATCGCGCTTACGAATCGAAACAAATGCTTAACTTTAAGCAAAAATGTTCCTGAATTAAGCATTGCTTAAGCCTGTCGATGTCAATTTCGGCATCTTTTGTCGTAAGAAAATAAAAAAATAACATGGTTAAAGTAAAGTGATTATTAACATGTTACTATTAAATAATAAAATAAGCAAGTAGTATAGCAGGCGGGGTACTATATCTGGGTCATGGTCTATCCTTCAATATAGTAATTATTAAATTAAATTATCATTAAATGGAAGTTGGTGTGTGTTATCATTTATGTTATTGTATTGTAATGTACAGATTATTTTCATTCCAAGAGTAGTAATTAGCACGGGATGAAATATTAGAAATTTGAAAATGTACACAATTTCGCTGGAGTGACGATAAGAATTTCATTAGCTGATCATTAGTAATAGACGGTGAAACAACAATANGTAATTATTAAATTAAATTATCATTAAATGGAAGTTGGTGTGTGTTATCATTTATGTTATTCTGGCACCAAATTCGTAATCAGTATACCTAAGAACCGGTAGTACCTGATTTTCATAATTGTTTCATAATTAATTTTCAAGATACATCATTTAACAACTAAACTAATTTTACAGTTTTTGTTATTAAAAATCAAGTATTTAAGCAATTATTACGAATATGTGAATACTCTATATTTTCTTTTACAGCATTGCCTTCTATAAAATAGTAGTCCCAACTGTAGATACCGTACGGTACAAATATGTTGTTAATACCCTACTTTCACATGGTCACCCTTGCATGCTGACAGGTCCCGTGGGAGGAGGAAAGACATCTGTTGCTCAATCTGTGCTCGCTGGTATTGATAACAACATATATTCTGTGCTGAATATTAATATGTCAGCGCAGGTACAACAGCAAATATTCTGCTTATATCTCATATTACATTATATTTATACATACGCCGTAGACAACATCGCTAAATGTACAGGAGACTATTGAAAGTAGAGTGGAAAAGAGGACAAAGGGAGTCTTCTTTCCCGTAGGTGGGAAAAAAATGATAATATTTTTGGATGATTTTAATATGCCAGCTAAAGAAACTTATGGATCTCAGCCACCACTGGAGCTTTTGAGACAATGGATTGATTATAGTTTTTGGTATGACAGATTGAAACAGACAAGAAAGTATATAATGGTTCGTTTTCTAATACATATTTATTATACCTTTTTACTTACAATTGATAAGATAAAAGGAGGTACTGTTTAATTCTTAGCAAAAGATTAATTCATCAACAGGACTGGACCAAAGAAATTCGATGTTGTCAGTATTCTGTCGAAACTGCCAGACGCGGATCGCTATTTCGTTCTTGACAGGATACAGACCTTTTTTTTTCGTTTGGATTATTCTCGGGGAGTGGAAATCTTCAAAAGACACCCCTAGAAGTGGGGAGGTCAACCCTTAAGGTTGCTTATCCCCGAGAAGGAAATAAAAAGGTTGGGAAAAGGGCTGAGTGTGGGGGAGGGAAAGGAGTATTTGGGAAGCGAAATCGTCGAAGTAGGTGGTCCACCTCGCGCAAAAAAGCGAAAAAGACACATACTAACTCTACTTACTGCCTTAACCCAGCGTGTTTTATAAAATGGCGTAATAAACTCCATCTGTACTACAATGCTACATTTAGTGGAATTCAATATGCCCAACAGGGTCCATTGAAATAGATGAATATCTAGTTGCTGAACTGAATACCCTGCGTATCTCACTACGCTCATGAGATCCAACAAGATCGAAATCGCGATCCGCGTCTGGCAGTTTCGATAGAATACTGACCACTTCGAATTTCTTTGTTCGATTTTGGTAACGCGCCTATCACGTAGTGGTGAGCTACGCCGTGAATTCAGTGTAGCAAGTAGATATCTATTTAAATGGACCTTGTTGAGCATATTGAATACCTCTTAATGTAGCTTTGTACTACAGATGGAGTTTATGTCATTTGTAGGATTTCAATCAACAGGACTATTCAAGCAGTTTAAGGGGTGAAAAATGGTTTATTTAATGACGTTTCACTTTATGTTGTTAAAGCTTCTTTAGGGTAGATTATATAGGTCAAATATAAAGTACCTCAGTTCTTTTTAGTTTAGTTTTTCCTCTGAGAAGGGGAAATCCTCAAATGATACCCCTTGAAGTGCGGTAGTGTGGGATTCGCCGATGCGCCTACCAACTAAAACCCCTCCTCGAGGAGTATGCAGAAAGTATAGGTAGTATATGGAAGTGCATTGAAATCCACCCAAGCAACTACACTTTAAACTATAAGCTTGGGTAAATTTCAATTAACTTTTGTACTATCTATACATTCTGCAACTCTGAGATACTTTAGATTTTTTACTTGTGTAATCTACCTTGAAGAAGATTTAATAATTTAAATCGAAACATCGGTGGAATTGTATATTAAATAAAACATTTTTCACCCTTTAAATTACTTGAATGGTCCTGTTGATAAATATTAGAGGAACAAATACGAAGGTGGATTAAGTCATTATTTACAAATAAAGGCAGCAGGAAATTGTGATTAGTGCTTTATATAAACCCCGATATTTTTACTTTGTTTCGAAATTGTATGTTGATGATTGTTAGAGTAATGTTTCCACAAGTATTTAGTTTCCGATGCACATACTGTATAGTAAGAATGGAATTTTAATAATTTTATCACGTTAATCTATCTGCGTGTTTTAAAGACAGTAATACTGTTTTGTTAATGTGTGTCAGATATGGGAACGGTACGAATCCAAATGTTCAGCAATTTCAAGAAAAACGTATTTATAAGTAACAGCCCGTTCAATCAGATAAATCTCGCAGAGAAATATGACCATGCAGCGGCGTATTCAATCGGTTGGTAATTGGAAGTAAATGTGCCGTATTTCTATTGTTTCTATTGTTATACTCATGTATTGTCTGTTATTTGTTAGATTAGAGTAAGTGTTAATCGTGATGTTTATGTTACAGTCAACCTGCAGTAGTTATAAATTAGCTATAAATTAGGTTTTGTCTTTTCATATGATACTGTAGTAAACATTTATAGCGAGTGCAAGCCTTGCAAGAAACTTTCTATGGGGTTTTTAATGGAACAGCGCGTTTCGAACGTCAGTCCCAATGCGAAGGATGTGCATTAGTTAACACTCCATACATGTGTAGCTGCTCAGTTATAACAATTTATTGTAGTCAAAGATTTAGTTGTACTAGACCCCATATTGCCGAATCATGGCCAGAACCGGCTTTGAATCGTAACTTGTTGGAGTTATATACAAACTATCATGTATTATTTTAATCGTACGTTTTATAAAACAATTGTTATCTTAGTTAATTGTTAGTTTTATCTATACAAAAAAAATTTATTAATCTCTGAGCATGTCCTTTAACAACCAAATTCCATTAGTATTTCATTTTTGACTAAATAAAACTAGCCTTGAAAGAGACCAATAACCAAAAAAAACAGTTCAGCTTTTAAACTCAAAACTAAGGGGATGTTTTTAACCTATTTCCGACACGGTCCGGTCATCTTGACGATCACCCGACATTGGGTGCGTTTAAAAATGATTTGACTAACATAACCTAATCCAACTGTAATTTACAAAAAACTTTTTTGGAAATTAGGTTAGATAAGGATTTTAGAAGCTCGAAAATTATGTGAACAACTGGTTTCCATCCTAACATATGTATACACTATGTCTGATCAGTACTGCGGAAAAATTAAGGTCGAAGAAGATAAATGAAAAAGAACACCATGTCCGCATATGCTGCGGGTGAATACATTTTGTTTTTTTTTTATATTTTCACACATCTAATTTTTGTATTTTGTGATAATAGCAGCAACATTGCCAATCGAATAGCAACTATGGAGTGCAGGCTACTAATAATCATCGCAAGTGTAACTGTCTTGTCTGTATACCAGCTGTTGCGACGGTCACGAGTAGGTCTGAGTGTTTCGTTACTTGACGTTTGCGATAACGAAGGGCAATAAGATAAAACGGCTGCCAAATCGCCTGCTGCTCTCAATCATTGACGTCTCATTGACTGGGGTATCTTTTGTGCATTTATTTTACATCTACGTTGTAGTGCTATCACAAGATACACTTTACACCGCTTCCAGATGTTATCTTTCAAATATTCCGGAATACTGATCAGACATAGTATATATTCTCGTTCAGCATAGTCCTAGTCATAATGGCACATTAATAGACTATCTTTTCAACCATGGCGACTACTTTAAACTTACAATTAGAGAGAGATTCAGATAGATTAGCTCCTTTTACAGAAAACTTCTAAAGACTACCCTTATTCTCAGAGCATTTGTCTTGATTTGCTGAATCGTTTTTCCTGGTGAAATTTAATGATAAGCTATTTAAGATGTTGTACATTCTATATAATAATCTTTTTATGTCACTGAAACTTGAAAAGAAGTTCCACTGAAGGTGTGCTAAAATATTACTTAATTTTTTCATTTCAGAATTGCTTCTTGTTAGCAGCAATGGGTCCACCCGGAGGTGGAAGGCAAATGATTTCCGAGAGAATGCTAAGTAAATTTTGTTCTATTTACATGACTTTTCCATCGGAAGCCCAAATAGCGCGTATTTATGGAACAATGTTAAGTCAGCATCTTCAACCGTTTCATATAGAAGTTAAAGCTCTTGGGAAAGAAATTACAGAGACAACCATTGAACTGTATAACAACGTTGTGGCTAAGATGCTGCCAACTCCAGCTAAAATGCATTACCTATTCAATTTGAGAGACATCTCTAGAGTTTACCAAGGTCTTTTAAGAGCACACAATGAATACACAAATACTAAACCAGGAATTCTCCGACTTTGGGTTCATGAAAGTGTTAGAGTATTTTATGATAGGCTTATTGATGACAAGTAAGAATGAAATTGCAATATCATTAATATTCTTAACTCAAACGCCTTAAAATCAGATTTATTTACCCTAGTAATAAGGTAAAAGTATGTTACATTTTCTTGACAAAAATTAATTTAGAATAACAATTACTTTCGAACTTGTTAATCAGAAAGACAGTCCAAACGATTCCTTTTTTACTACCAAAAGAATAATCTATTGATTGTCGATAATTTAGTTGATAATGGAATGGAGGTATAAAAACTTCTGGTGAAAATTCTCAACAACAAAAATTGCCAAACCTTTGAAATCCTATTTCGTATTGTTCTTTAGAATTACCTTTACATTGTCATCAAATAAGACTAATTAGAATATCATTAATTTCGCTTAAATGCTTAAAAAGACCTTTCCTGAACAGTTTTGGTTAGAGATAGGATTAACGGTGACTTCTCATTTACACTTCTCACCTGTGACTGCTCCGACAAAATCACGAAACCTATAATTTCATCGTTGGTTGCATTTCACATTCACAGCTATTCTGTTACACTGAGTTCCGTCTCATAGACCGTATGAGTATCTAAAGTGGCATCAGCTTCGCTTCCGAACCATGTGGCCAAAGATAATTTTTCACTCTCTTCTGTCTTCACTTCGTCCACCTCATTTTTCTCATTCCCACCACCACCCACACATTTCCACTACCTCTAAAAGGAGGTTGAAGATCTACCCGCCAACCAACATTAATAGCTAGTTTGAATGAAACATCCAAACGTTTTTTATAATATTTACTTACATCAAAAGATCTACTATTATGTAATAAATTTTAAATAAGTTATCGAAAGTTAAGTACCTACGCATTACACTTAGGCTACTTTAATTTCTATCACTTGCTCTTCACCAAATATCTAATGTAACACATGTTCTCAAACATGTTTACATTCACATGTTAAACAATTTCAACAAAATTATAACGTAAAGATAAAATACCATCACCAGTTCTTTTACGTAAAAATATTATCTCACAATTAACGAAAACTTACCTTCAGGGATCGCGATTGGTTCCTTAACCATATACATGAACAATTAGGAAAACATTTCGAGATAACCCTTCATTCTATTTGTCCTAACTGGACCATCCCAACATTCGGTGATTTCGTAAACCCTTGGAGAATTTATGAAGATTTGCAAGATCCAAACATTGTCCGAAAATTTATTGAAGGGCAAATGGAACAGTACAATGTGTCACCTGGTGTTGTTCGAATGGATTTGGTACTTTTTGCAGATGCTATTGACCATATTTGCAGAATTACAAGAGTTATTTCTCAACCTAGGGGAAATGTAATGCTTGTTGGAATTGGTACGTCTCTACTTGTTCTTAAATGATAAACTAGAACCAATCTTAATTCACTTTAATGTTACGATAAGTTTTGAGGTTAAATAAAAAATTATTGGGAACATAAGTAAACATTGATTCTAAAAATGTATCAACAAAATAACACAAACTAAACGAAAAGGCAGCACTAGATGCACCACTTCCTTCAATCGAAATATCATCGGATTCCGTTTTCTCCATCTTGACATTCTTGACTCTACGTGCGTTATTTGCCGCGCCCTTTGAGTAGTACCTACAGCTTACGTTATTTCGTCTATTGAGAACATTGACCGTTCCTATATGTTAATTTAACTAAGGCGGCCCATACACCTACAATAATTTTGTACAATGTTTTTATTGTACAATAATATTGAATACCCCCGTTGAATCCATACGTTCGATAATATTTAGCAATAAGATTGACAAGTCATTAGCGTCAATATTTTCAAGCGAGAAACATGTCTGACGACGAAGTTTTGGCTGCAACCGTGCTAGTGATTTTGTTGAAAACAGGAAAAGAAAAGATAAAACGAATATGGGCGAAGGAATGGTTTAAAAAAAGCCCAGTCTATACTCACGAAAGACTTTTAAGGGACTTAACATTTACTCAAGAAAACGATATCAAAAACTATATGAGAATGGATATTGCAAAGTTCGAAGAATTGCTACAATTAGTAAATTATTCACCATTTTGATGCTCGACTCCATACTATACGTGACTGAACTGATCGTAACTGTTCTAAACAGCGAACTGAAAAATATTGCTCCATACTAACCCAACACAGTGCAAGAATACCATATTGCGCAATAAAGTTAAGCTAGTTCAGACTTCTGTTCAATTATTGCAAAGTTTTCAATATTATTCCTACACCGCTAATAGTATTGTGCAATCATCTATATTGTACAATATTATTGTAGGTGAATGGGCCGCCTAAGATTGCTCATAATGACGCAGCCTCCATCGTATATGCACTCGTTGTTAGATTCTGTTCGGTACTCTGTTTCTTGTTTCTTTTACAATTTCCACTATAATATTATCGATTGCCTCCACGTCTTATTCCGCTATACCGACCGTTAAATACAAACACATTCACGGTTTTTAATTCTTGCTGGTATTCAGAGAAAGTTTCGATTCCGACCTTCTTCTCGTTCTATTTTTAATTCAATACAAATGCCTGGCTCCTAAAATATGGAAATAGTTGACCGCAGGGATTTTGTATTTCTATAATTTATCGTGTGTGACAACTATTAGGCACTCTTCATTATAAAAGTAGGGGTACTTTTGATGGGGATGTGTGACGTTGTCGACTTCTTTTATATGCTCCGTTTCATTAACAATAAGAATGTGTCACCCTCGTTAAAATATTGTCTCCGTTCTTCTTTCCATATACTTTTAAGTTTAATGTTTAAACCGTGTAAACATAACCCGGACTTCAGACTTATTATTGATGAAATAAAGTCATAATGTGTTGAAGAATAGAATGAACGATATTAATTACATAACTCTTTAAACTAGCTAGAAAGAAAGGAAAGAAATACATATAAAAACAAAAACGTACTCTTTAATAATGATTAATTAACCGAGCGGCATGGCTTGGAGGTTTAGACCATTATTTAGCATTCGGGAGGACGCCGGTTCGATTCCGGGTTTGTCTGCCTTGGTCCAAGTTTTCTGTGGTTTCCTTGGATCACTTAGATAAATGCTGAGGCAGTAATATACCACAGATAATCTTTCATTCTCTTCTGTCTTCATTTCGTCCGTCTCATTTTTCTCACCCGAACCACCACCGATCTATTCCCACGATTCCTGAAAGCAGGCTGAAGAGGGCCTTCCGCCCTACCTTCCGGTGTAGTTCGGAGGGACTGCCTGCTTACCAGCACCTAAAAGTTTATTTTTTTTAATGATTAGTTAGGACTCACCAATCCTTTCTCAGTAGATCTAGGACGAGCTGTAACCCAGCCGCTAGTTATTCTACTGTAACAAATCACAAGAAGGCAATGTAGTTATATATATTCGAAAAAGGGAATTTCACAATTTAACGGTACGGCGTTCATAACTATTTTTTATTTTAAGGTGGTGGTGGTCGACAGTCGTTGTCGAGGATTGCTAATTACATATGCGAATATAATACATTCGAGCTGACCGTTTCAAAAAGCTATAGAATACCGGAATTTAAAGAAGACTTAAAAACACTTTATTCAGCAACTGGAGGAGACAATAAACAAACTGGCTTTTTATTCAATGACACTCAAGTAATGGATGAAGGTTTCCTTGAAATAATAAATAATATGTTGAGTACAGGAGAAGTGGCCAATTTGTACAAATCAGATGAATTTGAAGAAGTAAGCATTATTTTCATCACCATCATTAGGTCATCCGTCGTAACACTGGTTGGACACACATTTCCACTCTGTTTTATCCTGAGCTAATTTTCGCATTTCCCTGAAACTAATTGCAAACAGTAATCTAATCCAGGTCCACCACTATTACACTTAACTCCTGCTTCTGCCTTTAATATGTCTCTGATTAGAACTTTATGCTTGATTGGTGCCCTACCAACCTATCTCACCTATCTTTTATTAAGTTCCATAGTCCTCTGTTCTCCTATTTCTTTTTAATACCTCTTCATTTAGAACCTTCTCTATCCACCGTACCCTCATCATTCGCCTGTAACATCATATTTCGAACGCTTCTAACCTTTTCTTTTCCGCAATGTACACCGTCCATGTTTCGCATCCGTTACAGCGCCGCTTTCCAAACATTACAGCTTTATAATTTTTTTCAGAATTTCTAAATTAACCGTTTGCGAGCATAGAAGTGAATTTTTATTGAAGGCGACTCGATCCTGTGCTATCCTCTGCTTTATATCTCTATTACTCATTCCGTCCTGACTTATCTGACTTCCTAGATACCGAAGATCAGCCACTGCTTCTAATTTTTGGTCTCCTATTAACTACTAATATTTTCATGAGAAATATTAAATAATTCTGCAATAAATCTGAATAGGTATTTTCAACGTAAGTAGGGAAGGTTAGAGGTTCCCTCCCCTGGTTTCTCTTCTTCTTCTCGTCATTTATTTATACGATTTCTCGAGGTCAAACTCTGCTAAAGAAAATTACAGGTATTTTGTAATAGTGTCCTTATGATTGTCGTTTAAATTTTATCGGCCAAACGTTACATTTTGAGCCATGGACAGCAGACAAAAAATTTTAAGAATAGTATTCTAATACAAAAATGCCTAAATGTGAAAAATCAGCTAGGTTCGGCACATACAACTTTCATGGTTGTCAACTAATAAAAGAACTGAGATTTGAACGGGTGCCAAGTTCCACACAAGGTGTAATCGAATTCCATCCTTATACTGAAATTATAAGTTGACTAGTTTTAAATTAAGTTTAACGTGATAAATGTAAAATCATCATCATAAGGTCGTCAATGCTAAGACTGGTTGAACACGCATCTCCATTCTTTCTTGTCATGAGCTAATTTTTGCATTTCCCTCAAACTAAAACAACCCCCATTCATAACTATTTGCGAAAAGTAATCTAATCTAGGTCTACCTTTATCCCTTCTAACTCCCGTTTCCGCCTCTAACAGGTCTCTGACTAGACTTTCATGCCTGAGAAAGTGTCTTACTAACCTATCTCGCCTATTTCTTTTTGATTTCCATAGAGTTCTCTATTCTCCTATTCTTTCTAATACTTCTTTATTTCTAATCTTCTCTATCCACGGTATCCTCATCCTCATCATTCGCCTGTAACTTTTGTTAGTTACTTTTTTCATGTTAGCGCGGAAAGCTCGTTTTGCGTGCTATGAAATAGGGAATATATGGCCTCTTTTCAGCCGTGTTTTAGTCGGGAGGCAATGAAATTAGTCTTTTGAGCGCATGCGCTGAAGTTTATGGGCATGCGTAGAAATCAGTTGTTCAATGACAATGTCTTTCTAACCTCTAAATCATTTACTCTTATTTCGCCAACTATCAATTTAATGACGAGCTTTCCGTTCAAACATGACAAAAAGTAGTGTACGTACCTCGGGAAGAAACATGTTTATCTCAGACTGCATGTTTGCCTTCAGCTCGGGTGGCAATTCATGTGCAGTCTGAAAAAGCCCTGTTTCTTCCCTCGATACATAATGTACTACCTATTACATGCAAAAGTATCGTAATTTAGCTATATACAAACCTAAACCTACCATCCTTATAGATAAAAAACAGAATAGGCAATGCCGCTGCAAAAGCCGGCGTGCCTTATACTACTGAAGCTCTCTACACGTTCTTTATTGAAAGAGTACGATTAAACATGCATGTAATACTGTGTATGAGTCCTGTGGGTGAAGCTTTTAGGAACAGGTTAAGAATGTATCCAGCCTTAATAAGCTGCACTACTATTGATTGGTTTTGTGACTGGCCCAAGGAGGCTCTTATAGAAGTGGCTAATAAATACATTGATGGTGTGGATTTTGTTGCAACAATAACTGGAGAAAAACTAGTAAGCTTCCCAAATATTTATATGAAACTTATTGATTCAAGTGATTAATTATTTTTGAAAAGTAGACAGTAATAGTAGGTGAGGTTTAACTTCTAGCAGAGTTTTATTTTTATCCTGAGTTTCCTTTGGGATAAGTACCCACTACATGACTCTTCCAAAATTGATTTCACATTAGCAAGACTTTTATTAACTGACGGATCATTCTTAGTTACAAAATTTTCCATCATAAAAGATTTCAAAGCTTCAATTTTCTATTTAACTGAATTAACTAAAAGAGATTCAATTTGCTTTTGAAAACTAATCAATTCAGACCTAATCATTCTCTACATTCCCAATTTACGGTCAATTTGCTGTTTACTTATAGTCTGGACATCTTCAAGAATCATCTCCACATTAGCATGGATATCAACTTCAACCTGTTCTGATTACACAAAGTCAATATCCTCTCGTAATCTCTTACTGGCTCTACTTTTACAAGACGCCACAAAACTCGTATTATCTTTATTAATTTCAACAATCTCACCAGGGCTTTCTCTTAATACAACTACCATGGGACTGCTGATGATAACATTTACCGTAGGCTTTGTTCACTTTTTGTTTACACCCACCACAGATATTATTATCCATGGTTCAGCCTAAACTTCTCTTCACAGTTATAACTTTGTTGTGAGTTATACTAGTTACGTTAATAAAACTTCAATAAATGCGATCTTTTCATGCGAGTTGCTATGTAACGAAATCATGTAACGCATTTACCCCGCTGTCTGTCCCTATGTATGCTTAGATCTTTAAAACTACTCAGCGGATTTTAATTTTAATAGTAGATAGAGTAATTCAAGAGGAAGGTTTCTATGTATAATACATGCATAATATATCAGAGAAACACTGATAATTTTAGAGGTTTATATATATAAACACAATTTTTTGCGCTTACATTGCAAACGCTGGCTGAACCCTACGAGATGGATCAAAATAATATACTACAGTATTGTACAGCTTAAAAAGGTCTACAAAAAAGTCCGCGATGGTACCTATATATATCTCTTAGGGATAACTCACAATAACCATTTTTTATCCTTTACTTTTTACGAGAAATAATGACTTATTTACGAAGCGATTTTAAGAAATACAACATTAATCCTTATCCAATTAAGTACTTTTAAATACATTGTGCATTTAATATAGATCAATATGACCCTTGACAGCATGTAATTTAAATGAATATTTACTATCAGCGTTGCACCCGTGCGAAGAATAGTGTGCAAATAATGCCATTAAACCAATTCCTTAACCCCTATCCCGGTATATCTGTGTTTGAAGAAGTTTCACTTCACTAGCGTGTTGTATCATTACATGTTGTATTTTTCATTATTAGGTCATTTTCAGCCATTTTCAACAAGAAAAAGTTACATTTTCGAAAAAAACGCTATTCAGGAGTTTAACCAAATAAACTTCGAAAACAATATACCTAGGTATAATAAATGATGATGTTATTTGTTAAAATATTATTTCATCCTAAATTTGCATTGTCGTTTTGTTATTGGTTGTTTCTTTTTTTAGTAGGGTGCAATTTACGTTTACCCGTCTATTATTCCAGCCACGTTAAGTAGTTAAATGAGTACAGCTGCGTATGATAATCATGGGTAGTTCGTAAATATGTTTGTGTATATGTGTATACGAATAGGTATGTAGTTGTGTGTTAATAGGTTAATTCTATACAACAAAGCCCAAAACATTTCCTGGTTGGCCCGAGTCTCACTTGTATAATCTCATAAAATTTTGATGCTACGCATTTCGCATAGGTAGCGTACGTGCCAAAAGTGAGACGGGCAGATGGGATGTTCTATTTTTGCACGGTTTAGATGCATCAATTATGTAGTTACGTGGATAAGTAAAGCACACATTATAAACTAAAGTAAGTATACGGTAACTGACGACTATAAATACTTCTAAAATTAGAGTAACGTACGGAATTTTGTTGGTCCGTTTTTTTTTTGCTTATTGCGCTAAAATTATTCGCGCATTCTGTAGTGAAAAATTTACTACAGGAATTTTTGCTTCCTCGTTTTTTTTTTACTTAATTTTTNTTTTGATAGAACTGCTTTGTTTTCAGCACAACCCAAAGGAAAATTGTATTATGATAGGATGGCAAATACTTACTGGCAAAATATCTTTATTCGTTATGGACTCTAAATAAATAATTAATTCTCCTACTTCTAAATATAAGCAAAATAAAAATTAAATGTTTGACCCCTTACTTAGAGGGGCGGGACGTAACTACAACGAAGTGTTTTCGGGTAAATCTTCATGGAAGAAACTTTCTCCTCCTTTTGGGATTCTAAATTCAGACTTTAAGTTTAGCACCCACACCCGGTATAATAATAAATACATTCCAATAATTAATATTCGACTATTGCCTACTTAACCTTTTCTCATTAATGTATTTTTAAAACTATTAGTAATTATTATGATACAAAACTATTCATCTGAACAACATTCTTCTTCACCATTTGCAGAAAACAATTGCTTTTTAAACCTAGTTCCCTAGATAAAATCTTCAAGCCATAATACGAAACGACTTCTTAAATAAACTACTTTTTTTGACATGATTTTGTATATTATACTTATCATACAATACAGAAACACATCCGCGTACAAATAAAGGAAATTTTGAATTTAATAGAGTTGGTAATATTCCAAAAATTATTCCATTGAGGTCAATGTTTAAAAAGGCATGTAAGAATATGCTAATCAGAAATGATAGTTGTGGATAATTATCGTCTTTGTAAAGAATAATTTTCATTAACACGTCCTGTTGTGCAATATGCGAGACAATTCGATAACAAAACATTAAAAAGTCTGCCACCGATTTGATGTTTTCCGTTATACTATCTATTAAATTCACAAATCAAACCTTGGTAGCAGAATGCTTTATGAACATAAAATAACATCAATAAAAATCAAACCTAAAGTTTAGTAACTAATTAATAGACAACATAAACAACATTTTGAGTATATCCTATTTACCTTTACTTAGGATTTATTAATAATACGTAGATACGTATCAACCTTTATTTTAATTAAAAGATATTAAAGGATTAATCAAACACTTTCAAAAATACTGTATGACAACATTTTCTAACAGTATTCCCCATTAGGAAGATTGGTGTACAATGATCCCACAAACGAAAAACTCATAGTGACACTAAAATAAGTGTTAAAAATGCATTTTATTCAACATTGTAGTGGGGTTATTAACTTTAAATCATTTATAGTAGTTAATACGTCAATTTAGATGGAAACGGTTGTAAATCCCAAAAATATAACTGTAATCTAGGTACATCCTCAACCAAATTGAAAAGCAACGATACAGTAGATTCCCGACTGGAAATTAGTTAGTGGATTGGATCCGATGCGGATTACAATTGCCTGAAGATTGACCAGAAATAAATCATGCTTTCTGATCCGGGTATGATGGAAAATCGTCACGCCATATATGATCAACATACGATCCATTTGAAAAATCCATGTCGGATCTGTTTCTAAGATCCATGCTGGACCCATTCAACAGATCCATTCCCGATCGAGCCAAAAGATCCACACCGGATCCGTTTAAAGGATCAGGATATTTTTTTTATTTTTATTAATTTGGCATAAAATAATTATATCAATATTACTATTTTATCTTAATTTTATTAATGAACTCCTTACACTTTAAATATGTTTCAAACAGTAAGTTCAATAACTATTTATTATTTTTATTTTCTTTATTCCAATTTTTGACATTATTTATGATTCTACCAACGGCATCATAAAATTCTTTAAACGTGATTCCATGGTCTTGATTTGTTTATTATTTGACGAACAATATTACATACAGAATAAATCAGGTAAAAAATAAAGTTCTGTATTATGATCCAGTTCAAAACATCGGATACAATCTTGATTTAAAGATTGTACCGAAACCGTAATAGAGTTTGTAGCATTAGACTGTGATAAGAAATTGGTCAGATGACTGGATGACTATGGTCAATTGCTGATCAGATGGTTGGATCAGCAGATAGAGTACTGTGCACTGATCAATTTCTGATAGGATAACCAGATCAAGGAAGGGAGTACTGTACTCTGATCAGAAACTGATCAGATCGGTGGATCAACGGATAGAGTACTGTACTCAGATCAGAAACTGATCAGATCGGTGGATCAACGGATAGAGTACTGTACTCTGATCAGAAACTGATCAGATGCCCGTATTACGGATAATCTGATCCGCATCTGATCAAAACCCGGGTTCTCTGAACTAATTTCCAGTCGAGTCATTAACATTTCATTCCTGCAATATATTGTGAATCCATGCACGTATTCCTTTTTTTTTTTTGAAAAAGCATCCTCATCGAGAATAAAAGTGACAATCATTAAAATTTCTTCGGATCACACATAACTTCTTATTACCTCGTTCTACAGTCTACTGATACGGAAAGGAAACGTTTATCAAGCGTTAATATTATCAAATTGTATTGAACGATTGGCGACATTGTGTATTATGATAGCAAATATGATTTCAGTGCTTTACTATCACCTGTGAAAGGGCTTAGTCTTAACGTTCTAAAAGCTTTAAATTCATCTCTATTTTACATATTACCTAATAAAGAATGCTCAACTGGATCATCAAAGAGATTCATCATTTGAGTTTTATCTGATGGTTTTCACATGTTTCCATCCTTCACAAATTAAACATTGGCTTCTCCACACATTTTCAAAGGCATTCGTATAAATATTCTACTCAACAGTGAAAACACGAAAGAATTTCATAATTTGTGTCTGTCTGCCTGTATGTTTAGGAAACGTTGTTTTAAAATGTAAGGGTACTGACAATGAAGAATAAAAATCCAGAAGTGGATTTAAATTTGTTTCTGATAAGTAGACAAGTCCATGTTAAACCAACTTGATATTTACATCTACATTTCTTGGTTATTATTGATAAACAGTATCTCAGTAAGCATTTGTAATAAAGAAAGCAAAAATCGTACTATCTTGTAACCATTCAAAATCATCCCCAAAATATTTCAAAAATTGTAAAGTTGACTAATCCACTCGTCTAAATTCACGACTTTATGCTACTGAATGGGGATATAGAGGGAAACAGTGCGGGTATCTAAAGTAGTGCACAGATCTGTCTCGTGCGGCCCAGTTCAATNACGACGAAAAAACTTTTTTAATAATTTTAACTAATTTCTATGTAATTTGGTGTGCTGATTCCGAAAAAAATAACGAAAAAGTCGTATCACCCTCCATTTTCTCACATTTCAATATTAAATAAAAGTAAATTTTATTAACCAAAATGTATAACAAATATTTTTAACCGTTAAAATATTTTCTAGTGTTATAGAGTTGACAATAATACAAAATGTAATCAGGTAGGTAGTTCTAATAAATTGCGCATTTTTTTGTTTTCTTGGCCTTCAAGAAAAACTTTGACATCCGGCCAGAAGAATTTTTTGCATACAACTTTGGTTGACCCCAAAAAGATCCTTTTACCACCACTACACATTAAGTTGGCCTTAATGAAACAATTTGTAAAGCTTTGCCTAATGATGGTGATTGTTTTAAATATTTATGTAGAAAATTTCATCATTTATCAGAAGCTAAACTGAAAGATAGGGATTTTCGTTGGGCCTGATATTCGTAAATTGATGCTCGATGCCAATTTCGAAGCAACGTTGAGTACAAAGGAAAAAGAGGCTTGGATATCATTTAGAGAGGTTGTGACGAAGTTTTTGGGCAATGTAAAAGATCCTAACTATGACCTTATCATATCTAACATGATAAACAATTTTAAAAATCTTGGTTGTCTGATGAACCTTAAAGTCCACTTTTTGCACAACCATCTTGACTTTTTTCCCACAAACTTAGGTGATGTCAGTGAAGAGCAAGAGGAACGGTTTCATCAGGACATCAAGGAAATGGAGAAACGATACCAAGAAAGGTGGAATGTAAACATGATGGGTGATTACTGTTGGACACTTCACAGAGAGCAACTGAATGCTTCCCATCGGGGAGAAAAAGCTATGCAAGAAACTTTACAGAAAGAAGAGAGAGAAAATACAAAAAAGATATATCTAATATTTAGTAATCTATTATTTGTAAGAGAAAATTTTAACTTTATTAAGAACTAAATTTTTTAATTTTTAATTATCAAAT